CCCTTCTCTTTACGTAAAGCCTTTTGCCACAAGTCACGCTTTATATCTCTCTATATTCCCTTGAGAGTCAAGTTTTGTTTTGTAGACCCATTTACAGCCTACTGTTTTAGCTTCTTTAGGAATTATTTTCAAGTCCCAAACTTTATTGGCATTCATAGATTTTATTTCATCTTCCATGGCCTCAAGCCACTTTGATGAATGATCACTTCTCATGGCTTATTCAAATGAGGTGGGATCATCCTCTATTTCAAATTCCTTAGTGTTGTATACTTCATAGTCAATAGGAATAGCTGATTTTCTAACTCTTTGAGACCTTCTAGGGGCCTTCACATTTGGCATATCTTATGTTTGAGGCTGTTGTTGCTCTCCCTCATGTGTGGCAATAGGTTCTACAGGATCCTGTAGAACAGGTTCCTCCTCATCATTCATTGTTGCCACAGGCGGAATAACAACAGGTGCTGGCACCACAGTATCTTGCACTGTCGGTGCAGCGACAGCAGGTAGTGAGAAAAATAGCTCATGAATCATCGGAGTGGGCGCATACACCCACATCTCTTCAAGGTCAATTTCTCGAGCTACCATGCTCCCCCTCATCATTTCATCCTCTAGGAAGACAGCATGTCTTGTTTCCACAAACTTTGTATGTTTGTTTGGACAGTAGAAACAAAAACCTTTCGACTTTTTTGGGTAGCCAATGAAATTGCAACTTACTGTTTTGGGATCTAGCTTCCCAATATTTGGGTTAAATACTTTAGCCTCAGCAGGACTCCCCCACACACGTAAGTGGTTTAGTGAGGGTACTCTTCCTGTCCACAACTCATACGGTGTTTTGGGCACTGACTTACTTGGTACTCTATTGAGAATATGAATAGCGGTTTTTAACGCCTCTATCCACAGGCTCAATGGTAAGGTGGAGTAACTTATCATACTGCGCACCATATCTATCAGGGTACGATTGCGCCTTTCAGCTACTCCATTCTGCTGAGGTTCGCCCAGTGTAGAATATTGGGCTACTATGCCATTCTCCTGTAAGAACCTTGCAAAAGGTTCAGGAACTTGGCCATATGGGGTATGCCGACCGTACTACTCCCCCCCAGGGTCGGACATGACTATCTTAATCTTTAAATTATGTTGGTTTTCAATTTCTGCCTTAAATATCTTAAATTTATCCAATGCTTCTGTTCTTTCTTTGATTAGATAAATGTAGCCATAACAGGAGTAATCATCTGTGAATGTTATGAATGAATCATAACCATCCACACTCTTTACAGGAAACGGATCATAGATGTCTGTGTGAATAATCTGTAAAATTCCTACGCTTCGTTTGACATCTTTCTTAATTTTCTTTACATACTTTTCTTTTATGCATTCTCTGCATTGTTCTAAATCTGAGAACTCTAATGGAGGAAGAATATCATTCTTAACTAGTCTTTCTATTCTCCCCTCGAAATATGGCCTAAACGACAGTGCCATAATTTCGACGACGCATCGTGAGCTCTCTTTCGTTTTCTGTTTACATTCGCAGATGAGGATACATTCTCATTGTCGCACGCAACATTCCCATCATCGCACACAACATTCACATCATCACGTAGTGACAACAAATAAAGCTCATTTTGTAAGATAGCAAGACCAACACATGCATTATTAAATTTTATTTTACATTTGCTATTTCTAAAATGACAATCATATCCATCATTGTCCAAGCATGAAACACTAATTAAGTTTCTTTGTAAAGAGGGAACATAAAGTATATCTCTAAGTAAAAGTGTGAAGCCATCAGCAAGCTCTAGAGAAAGATCACCAATGGCTTCAACATCTGCTCGAGCTCCATTTGCAACTTTAACGTGTCTTTCTCTTCTTTGCGTAGTCCTCGTCGAATGGAATCCCTGTAAGTAATTAGCAACATGAACAGTTGCAACTGAGTCAATCCACCAAGTAGATTTCGAATACTGTACATATAGGGATTCATTTATGAACGCAATAATGTTCTCACCTTTCTTTGCCATGATCATCTTTAAGTAACCGGGATAATCTTTCTTATAATATCATGTCTTCTTGCAATAGAGACACTGGTCTTTCTCTACTGTGAACTTGTTCTACTAAGGCTGATGCAGCATGGGACCCTTTTCCCTTTGACTTTGAGGAGGAGTTAGCATTATTTTTTTTTCTTGTTGCCTTTCACATAATTGATAGTGCCATCATTGGCAGCTTTTATTCTCTCCTCCTCTTGCACACACATAGCCATGAGCCTCTCTAAGTCCCACTTCTCAGGCTGTATGTTGTAGTTGACAACAAAAGTGTCAAATTCCTTTGACAAGGAAGCAAAAATCAGATGGATAAGAAACTCTTCCTTAAGAGCTAGATCCATTGGTTTTAGCTTGGATGCCAAATTGCTCATCCTTAGTATGTGCTCTCTTATGCCACCATTTCCAGAGTACCTCTCTGTTACCAGCTGCTTTATTAGCTAGGTAGCATATGTCTTTGAAGAGCTAGTGGACTAACTCTTTATTCTATCAAGGTACTCGGTGACCGTGTCCCACTCTGGGATTGAGCCCACAATTGCAGGCTCAATCGTGTTCTTTATCACAACCAAACATTTGTTGTTGGCAGTGACTCACTTCCTATGCTCAAGGTCATATGATATTTTTTGGGATGCAAAATCCCTCTCTCTAGTTGCCCAAGCGGCATCAGCCTCGTTTGTCTCCCTCACCAGTGCCACAGGCTTAGTGGGATATGGTGAGGTGACTACCTAGTCCTCCTTAGCCAAGATGAAGGTCAGGTCAATCTTTTTCTTCCACTCCGTGTAGTTGTTACCTTTGAGAGTGGGGATCTCTTTGATACAACCCATCAAGTTATATCTGCCTAAAAACACAATTCATATAGAGTGAGAACATAAATAATAACAACAATTGCATGCCTTGATTCCAACGTTGGTCAAAATTAAAACATACAACTGTTTATACATTAAATCTACATCACCGTTGGGCAGAAATAAAAAGAATGCATAAAATCATTAAAATTATGATATTGTTATTAACAACGTTGGTCAGAAAATAACAACATCGTAATCATGTTAAAATCTCTTTTTCTCCAATTAAATATCACGTTAGTTCAAAATAACTAGAGAATAAACAATTTCTTTAGCAGTGGAAACTTAAACATGATAGGTGAATTTTACCCACAGAAAAATTCCTCTTTGCTATTTTCTTTGAGCCATTAATCTATTTCCAGGAAATAAATATTTACTAAAAAAAGAAAAAGAAAAATGGACTCAAAATCAACACTGTTCCTTCCACCCGACCAAGAAATCGGCCCGGCTTGGCTCTCTTGCACTCGTGCTGCCCGCACCTAGGCCGTAACCTGGGCCTGGGCTGGCAAAGTCGCGTGGCCGCGCGCGCCCGCCTGGGCCAATCGTTGGCCCGATCGATCTGCGCCGTCCATCTTAATCCGACGGCCATGCGCGCGTTTCGCTCAAAATAAAAGCCGACGCCGCGGCGACCCCGGGGAAACCCTAACCCATTCTCTGCTTCTCTCTCTCTCTTCGCCTCGCTCTGTTCTCTCCTCAGCGCAGCAGCCGCAAGCACCAGAGTGAAAGCAAGCGTGAAGATGGCACCGTCGCCGGTCCCCTCGCCGGCATGCGCGCTCCCCAGCGGGTGAGCATGTCGCCGTCGAGCGGTCTGGGCGGTGGTGCCCTGATCCCCTCCAAAACCCTAGATCTGACCCGGTCACTTCTCCTCCTCCTCTGTCTTGGTCCTGCGACGGCACGGAGTGAGACGATGATGGCGCCATCACCGGCCCTCTCGCCGGCGCGCGCTCCCCAGCGGGTGAGCGCGCCGCTGTTGAGCGGCCTGGCCGCGGCGCCCTTAGCCCGAGCACCCGCCCGCGCACCGATGAGGCGGCAGCACGGTGCGGCGGCGAGGTAGGCCTCTTCCCCTTTCCCTTTTCTTTTCTTTGATTTTCCTTTCTTCTCTTCTAGGATCTATCCGATTTAGGGTTGGGGATGGGGTTAGGATCGAGATTAGGGTTTGGTTAAGGTTTTGTTCACTGTTCTTCTTCCCCGAGTTTGATTCGCGGGTTAGGGTTCGGCTTCGCGTGCCGAGACCCTTTCTTTTCTCTGTTCTTCACCCCATTAGGGTTAGGGTTCGGTGACCCTCTTCTCTTCCTAGATCCGGACGGATCTGATCTCTTTCTTACCCCTGACATGATCTACATCTAGACATAGGGTTCCGATAGGCTAGATCTATACCCAGTGAGGCTCTGATGCCATTGATAAACCTAAAACAGGATCTCTAGACATAGAACTGGCATGTCTACTTGCATTTGGATAAAACATGAGTCCTAAAACATCTACTAGTGCAGTGACAGTAGATAGAATGAGAAAAAGAGAAGGGTGAAGAAGGACGTGTCAAACCTGACATCGCAGAGGAAGATGGTCCAGAAGCCGCCATCTCGTTCGTCGGTGAAGTCTGCGCACGGACAGCGATGTTCAGGGAAGAGGTCGACGTCGGTGGAGCGGGACGGCGCGGCTGATGGTTTCCCGTCACTGGCTGTGCCCCTCTCTGATTGGGATTAGGGTTTAGATTTCAGTGGGGAGCTCGGCTCAGGCGAACCTCGTACACAGAGCCGTCGGCCCCCACCTCTATATATAGCGCAGTGTGACAGAGGCCCTCCAGCCATAGTGTTCTAGGCGCCCCCGATAAAGACGCGGATCAAAGGCCCAACTAGGCCGTTAAGGTCAGTTTGGAATTAGAGATCAACGTAACACACACCGCTGAATGCACATGCAGCAATGACACATCCCAGTGTGCACGGATACGGAAGGCAACTTCCCTTCCTGTCCCGTCGCGGAGTCAAGTCCAAATTATTCACGGGGGAGCTCGCGCCTCGCGCTGGATTGGAGTTGGATACCTAGTCTCGAGAAGAAGAGAAGATGCGAACCAAACAGGGAGGGGGAGAGTAGCAGGACAGAAGAGAGAGGCCGGCGGACATCATCCGCCATGGGGTTGCTGGATCTGATGCTCCTCATGCCCATGAAGCGCCACCAGCGGGGCCAGCAGCGCCGCCGCCGGCAAGCCCAGGCCCAAGCCCGTGGTAAGCATTCTCCAGTTGATTAGCTTCCTCCCCTACCTCCCTGTGCATACCATGGCCAAGCGAGAAAATCGGAATTTTGCCATTACGGAGAGTGGGCTTCGTTCAAATGCCATCAATTTTGTGGGCTTCGCTGAAATGCCCTTATGAAATGAGTCAAACACGCTATAATGCCATTTTGAGTTTTAAGTCTACTTTAAAAATTTTGCAGTCAAAATTTTAGCCTTCAGTGACCATTTTGCCCATGAGCTCGTTGAATATGTGGAGGAAAGCGAGCAGAGAGAGAAGTGCGGGCGGTGGTGCTGCTCGCCGCTGGGCACAGAGAGAGACGGTGGGAGATAGAGAGGGGCTTGAGCAGTGGAGCTACTCACCGCTGAGTAGAGCACCTGGGCGAGCGGCTGGTCGCTGGACTGGCGCTAGGAGCACGCGGCTCCTGTTGCTCGGCCTCCCACGACGAACAGGAAGAAACGAAGAACTGGAAATTTAGAACAGGAAACCGACGGCCACAAAATCGACGAAAAACTGGACCAAATCAAAACAAATCGCAACCAAACTTTTCACATGCCATTACAAGGGAGTTGGTGAGCATACTCTAAGAGATCATCGTCCAATTTCAACCCAAACTCCGGAAAAATTAGATCACGGCCAAGAACACGAAAAACTCCCCAAAAACGAAATTCGTTCAATATCTTTGTGCTCGACTCGATTTCACTTAAGGGGTAGCATCAACTCATGTTATAGCACGAATCTGACCAAAAAAGAACGAACTAAATCGATCTCAAAATAAAGAATCGAAGCAAGAACGGGGGAGGGAGAAACTGAGAAAAAAAGCTAAACCCTAGAGGCATTCTAGGCCAAACCCTAGAACACGAATCGAAGTCATCGAAGGGACGAATCAGAGAGGCAAAAGCAAAATCAAAAAATACAAGAGGAAACGGGAGCACTTGAGACTGCTCTGTGCCAACCGCGGCACCGCCGAGACCCACCAGCACCGGGCACGAGCACCATGAGCGGCCACAGCAGGAGAGAGGGAGAGGGGGGAAGATGAGGACAACTGGCCTGCAAGGCCATGCCTCTACCCTGCCCTGTGTCGGCCGCGCGCACGGCCCAGTGGTAGATCGAGACGGAGGGAGAGGGAGAGGGGACGGGGTCGCCTGCGCTGCACCACCGTCGCCGCGGCGCGCCACCTCACCGGAGGACGGCCAGCGCGGCGGGCCCGTACGGTGCGCCTGCACACCGGGAGAGGGGGAAGAGAGAGAGGCAGCGCGACCTCGGGAGAGGGAGAGAGAGGAAGGGGAGGCGACGGGAGCGAGAGAGGGGGAGAGCTGAGAGGACGTGGGGGAGAGAGGAAGGGGAGGAGAGCGGGAGAGATGAGAGGGCACGACTGCTCAGGGGTAAAATGGTCAGTTCAGGCTAAAAGTTTAGACGAAAAATATTAAAAGTGGACTTAAAACTTAAATGGCATTATAACGTGTTGGACTCGTTTCATAAGGGCATTTCAGCAAAGCCCACAAATTTAATGGCATTTGGGCGAAGCCCACCTGCCATGAGGGCAAATTTCCAATTTTCTCCGGCCAAGCGCGAGCAGCTTGTTGCTCTTTAAACTCGTGTGGAGTAATTAGTACAAAAGGTGCCTTTTTCGTGGTCCGTCTCCCTGTTGTTTCGAACTTTCGATTTGAATCTGTATCCATACCACCAAACAAAGAAAAAAAATCATGTTTGTACTGGGTGCAAAGAGAATCATATTAGCAGGGAGACTAATTTCTTATTTTTTATAAGAAAAAACTGGTAACAGTAAGATGTGGTGATTTCGTTAATCTCGAGATTTGTCGGTCCAACTCAGTCCTTCGAAGGTGCTCATAGGGTTAGGGTGTGCATGCGTGTGTTCATAGGGTTGAGTGTGCGCTCGTATATGTGAGCGTCTACGTCAGTTACTAGGTCTCGCAAAAAAAAAGCAGATCAGAGGCGTTTCATCCAAGAAGTAAATGATCGCAATGGCTGGTGGCCTCCACCTTCTTCCTTTTCTATTCTTGAACTAAATTCACAAATTACAATACTTTGGAACAGACTGCTCTGCTATGCAAAAGAAAAAAAAAAGGAAAAGAAGCATGCTGAACTGAGGAATCCCCCCCTCTAAAATGTTAAACAAGTTAATTTGTCTTACAAATTATTAGGGCCGTTGAACAAAAGTTGGCAAGTGGAAAAATGGATGTCTCGGTGTTTTTTTTTTTTGAAAAATTGTCTCAGTGTATTTTAACCATGCATGTTGCACTGCAGATGGATTAATCACTTCAAGGGCTAAAAGAAAGGGCTCACCCTGCCAACGAGATGACGATTCTCAGGGTGCTGACCTAGAGATACATTCAGGACCAAGCCTTCCAGAGGTAGGGCATGAAAATGCTGATGTTGGAAGGGCTTAGTACAAGTAAAATATCACGAGTACTGCTTGAATTGCACAAACTATGAAGCACAGATAGCTAGATAAAACTTAGAAATGGATACCTTAATGCCGTAACCTTCTAAGCACTGATGCACTGGAAGTCTGGAAGCTTCTCTCTTTCCAAATTGTTGCATTAACTTTCCGTTTCAAGTTGTCTCCGTATAATGTTTGCTCCTAAGCATAACAATCATCTTCGGGCCTCCAATGCATAAAAGCTGCTGTTTCTATGAATGGGAGGTTCTCAGGTTATCATCGTTGGCTAGAGTGCTAGACTTGCCATTACTCTTCATATATCATATTATCTGTAAGATTGTAGAATCTCAAAAAATGGCTCTTTTCCAAGAAACACAATATGTTATCCAGGGTTCAAAATTTCGCTAATTTTGGTAATTTCTGTAGTGGCCGAAAGGAAATCCGAAATTTTGTAATACACTAATACATGTGCTATATAACTCTAGACTCATAGTTTATATTGCATATTCTTCTATTCAATAGATGTGTAGTCATGAATCATACTAATATTTGTTTGAATCTAAATGTGCAAGTCTCTAAAAAATTTCGGACGAATTTCGAGAAATTCGGTAATTTCGGTGGTTGCCAAAATTTTTGCAATACCAAAATTAAAAACCCTGATGTTATCTCCACTAGACCATCGCAGGCTGTATATGCTAATTTGTGATCTGCATAAACTTGCACTAGTATGGTATTCTTTTATCATCTCTGCACACTGAGGTTTATATATGTCAACTTATTCTATACTGTACCTGCCATGTTATTTGATTTTATTTTGTCATTATATAGGCTTTCTGGCTGTTTAAATATTCAGATGCCCCTATTGGTACCCTACGCAAAGTGCATGTTCATTTCTATTGCTTTGCTGCTATTAGAAGATTAATCACCATTCTGTCCATCTTATTTGGCATGAAGGTGTGGATGTCTGCCTAGACCACCCAAGTTCAAGGCCTCGTCGAGGCGAATTTGGGTGCCTATTGTTTCTTAATTAAAAAGCCACCTGCTTCTCCTGGGTTGGTCTAGTTAATTTATCTTATTTGGCATTACACACCGAGCATTTCATGCCTGATTTGGGCAAGAGTATATTTTCTAGTAAAAGTCATCAAGTAAGGAGTAATCAGGCACATAGCTCTGTACCTGGGTGGGTTACAATACTACAATAGTACTCTGGAAATTACTCCATACTTTTTTTTTCTTTCCATTCCATGTAACTATGTAAGTCAACCATTTGCCTTTACAATTCAAATGTTGAACTTCTCTCCCATGCTTGTCCATGTAGGACATCTGGCATCATATACATTCCCTGATGCCAATGCGGGATGCTGCCCGAGCTGCCTGCGTCTCTCGCTCCTTTCTACATTCCTGGAGATGCCATCCCAACCTCAATTTCAGCAATGGCACATTGGGCTTGAATGAAAATGCATCTCAAGAGGATGAATCTGGTCGAGTTTTCTACATTAAAGTTGACAACATTCTGCAAAAGCACTTAGGCGGTGTGAAGAAACTCAAGATCCAGATTGATTCAGATTATAGTGCAAAGGACTCTCGTTACCTCAACAATTGGCTTCAGACTGCTGTTACACCAGGGATTGAAGAGCTAAAACTTATACTGTTCCCACACGATGCAAAATATAAGTTCCCATGCTCAGTTTTGTCAAATGGTAGTGGGGACTCAATCCAACATCTTCACCTTGGCAACTGTTCCTTTCACCCAACAGTCACACTTGGTGGCTTAAGAAGTCTCACAAGACTGCATCTTTGTCATGTGCGCATTACGGGAGACGAGTTAGGGTTCCTTCTTTCCCATTCTCTTGCTTTGGAGTGGTTGGAACTCAGTTCCTGTGGCAGAATAGTTTGCCTGAAGGTACCTCGCCTACTACAGCGGCTCAGCTACCTGGAGGTGAGCGGGTGCACCAAGCTGAAATTGGTAGACAATGAAGCACCGAACATTTCCAGTTTTACATTTTTAGGAGACAACACAGTACAGCTATCACTTGGAGAAACTTTGCAAATGAAGAGCCTAACGATGATCCGCCCCGGTTCAGTTTTTTATGCTCGTGCTGAACTTCCATCCAGCATGCCAAATCTCGAAGCTCTTAGCATATATTCACAGGAAGAGGTATGAGAACTCAGTGGCGGATCTAGAATTTTAGTTTAGGGTATGCCGTAAAAAAAATCATATTTAAATTTAGTAAAATCATTTGTCAATTCGGTAACAATTGAATTCTTTAATATAATTCGGTATATCTACACTAAATAACAAGATAAGTGTTAAATTCGATGATTAAGCTAAAAACGTCCACATATTATAATAAAAATAATTCAAACGCCGTACTGGTAGTTTATAATATAGACATAAAAGATAGTAAGAGACTTACAATTAAGGGAAGGATTTAAAGCAGCCCTAGCAAACACCTTCTTTTATGCATGTTTCTGAAAAAGAGAAGCAATATCCCCGGCTCTCGCACTCTTTATAATACTAAACATACAATGCCAAATAATTAAACAGATTGTTCTCTTACAGATCAAATTTTCACATACAACTAGACAAACACTAAAACATTGACATGATATCAATCTGGATTGTCTCTGATGTTAGGGCAAATCTCCAATCTCGGTGCACCTGCACGAGGGATGATTTGATGATATCAGCAAATAGCAATGAAATTAAGGCCTTGTTCGCTTGAACTTATCAGCGGTACCGTTTCAGCGAAATAACAGTGTTTTCTCTCACAACAAATCAGCAGCAGCCGTTTTTCCAGCCAGCTGAACAGGGCCTAAGTAGACAAACAATTTCTATAAGATGACGAAGGCGAAAGAGACTGCGAATCCAAGACAGTAGCGACTACCCAATCGACGAGGTTTCATACTGGCATGTGGCGCACCTCCGTCTCCTGTGCGATCGTGCGCCTGCAGCCGTGCCCGGGCCGTGCGGTCAGTTCATCCTCGGCGGCACGGTGTGGACGATCAGATGAGGAATAGGATTAGGGCATCACGGCGGTAGACAGTCACGCAGCGTGGCGACGTGTTGTGGGCGTCTGTACGACATGATCGAAGGGAACATGGCCGTGGTTGCATGGCCTTGTGGGCCGCATGGGCCTCTCATCACATGACCACGGTCATCCACTAGGGGCACGCCGGCGTGTTGCATGCGAGCCAGCGGCCGCTGGCTGGGCGAGGGCGAGCATTCTCCTAGTAAGTTTTTTCTTTTTAAAAAAATATACATGTATATAATGTAATTGTTTTTGGGATCACAGGGTATGCCGGTGCATACCTGGCATACCCTATAGATCCGCCCCTGTGAGAACTTTAGCTTACTGCTGAATAGTGATAGGCATAACTTATGATAGTACAAGTCTGGCTTAATAAATATTATATATATAAATACAAGTCTATGGCTCACTTATAAGAAAACAAGTCTATGGCTTGGAGCATAATTATTCTGACCTCTTTATGCAGAGGGCCCATGCACCAATGCTGCATAGTAAATTCATCCACCTCAGGCACTTGAGCATGGTTCTTACTGGAGCACTCCTTTACCCGATGTATGATTATTTGTCATTGGCTTCCTTTTTAGATGCTGCTCCTTCTCTGGAGACCTTTGACTTGAATGTGAGTTGCCATTCATACTATTGCGATATTAGTATAGTTGTGGTAGAACATGACTTAAATTTGCCCTTCTGAATCATAGTTATGGCATGGATACGTGGGGAATGGTTCGATTTTCACGGCTCGTGGAGGTCTGAGGCAGATGCGAGAACTGCAGCATCACAACCTTAGGAGTGTGAGGATCACAGGATTTTGCTCTGTGAAGAGCTTGGTTGAGCTGACATGCAATATTCTTGAGAGTATAACGTCACTTGAGTGCTTGAAATTGGAGTCCACTCAGAGCGTTCTTAGGTGTTCTGACCGTGACAATAAATCTGGCAAATGCTTCCCACTTGATAGCGATATTCTCACGGAAGGTTACAGGGGAGTCTTGGCTATCAGAAGGTATATTGAGCCGAGGGTCCCCTCCACAGTGAAGCTGCAAGTTTTAGAGCCTTGCAGCTGCCATGCTGCTGTACTTTAGATGTCATGTTTATCTTGATTGTTCAATGTTTAATCATGTTGTTGCTAGCTGCTAATGCTTCTCAATCATGTAGGTGTTTACATGGGTCATGCTTTCTAGAATTATCTGAAACTGTTCATTATCTAGTTGTACTTGTGTTGCTTCCTAAGATTTTAATACCTCCTGGTTCATTCCCAATGTTTAACTTTGAAATATTACAGAGAATCGGATAAAAAAGGAAAAGAAAAGAAAAGAAAGATAAAAGTGTTATGGATTATCCATATTTGGCCACGAGAATCGATAAGAAGCTTGCCAAAACGCCCCGTGCCATGGATGGTTCTCAAGAACGTCCATGATCTATCCACCACGAGATTGAACTGGAGATACGAAGAAGATTGTTTAGGTGGGACTAAAAAGGTATGGTATGCTAGCTTAATATTGCTGATGTGGCCTCCATCATCTTGTTATTTTTTATTTTTTAACAAAGGTAAGAGCTCTGCCAAGAGGATGATAAAAAATAATACATGAGGTTTTGCTCTTTAGGGCCACCCACTAAACCTAGAACATAGAGAAAAATGAACAGCCCAAACTCCAAAGTGAAAGGGGTGAATAAAAACGATTGTAAGAGCAACTCCAAAAACTTGGTTTCTCACTGCATTCAGCAAATTTAACTGAAAGATAAAAAACTACGGTCCAATAGGTTCATCATCTCCACCTCTAAAATACTATCAATTATAAGTTATAATTCACTTTGGCTTTTGTAAGAGTTATATTATAGTCTTAACGATACATCTAAATTTGATATATATTTATGTGTATTTATAAACAAATTATACCCTCTTCATTTGAAATTACAATTCATTTGGTATTTTTAGATGTAAAAGTAGCTTTATTTAGACTATACCTAGATACATACATAGTATAATGATTTATAATTCCAAAATGACTTTTGAAATGTACAACTGTACAAGGAAAAGAACTTTGCTGATGAAATAAAAATAATTAGAAGGATGGGCTGATTTACCTTTGGTGTGCCAATAGTGCCACATCTTCAGGTTTCGGAGGACGAAAAGGTTGAGGATTAACCTTTCCCTGAGTTGAAGGATTACAGAAAAAATAGGGCTGCACAATATAGGAGCAAGTGGAAAATAGGAGGTGATGCCCTTCTTTGTTCAAAATTAAAGCACCAATGACAATGTATTAACAACTTTAACATTCAAATTCCATAAAAAAATTAATTGATAGGGAAACACATACACATTTAATATCCGAAGTAAAAGTAATCCAACATGAGCATGTTATGTATGCCTATAACCATCAAGCATATGTACATACAGTTATCACACTAGCAAAACTATGTATTGACCAAAGAGAACATTTGATATGTGGTCTCATGTGTACCACATACAATTAAAATATGGCACTCTTAAAGAAGAAGACCAGATTGTTCAAAACACTAAAACAAGTGTCATCTTAAAGATCATAAGGTATATACCAAACTACATAAATGCAAAAAAAAAAAAAAAACTATAGTATTATGCATCATTGATACATAGTACTGTTTTTTTTTCTAACACAAAATACAGCAGGGGAGGTAGTAAGTGTTATCGCCAACAAATGTTCCACCAGGAGAAAATTTAAAGGTGCAGTCGCTCTTTATCTCTTTGGTATTTGGATCAGCAAGCTGCAAAGAAAAAAAACAACCACAAACATACAAGTCTTACACATAGAACAGGTAATGCTCATCCATTGTGTAACCAGGGCCCCGTTCGTTTCGCTGAAAAAACAAGCTGAAACACTGTTCCGACTGATTTGTTGTGAGAGAAAAACACTGTTTCGGCTAAAAAGACAAGCCGAAAAGTACGGATTATAAGAGAAGCGAACATGACCATCATGTCTCATTCCTTGATGATGCCATTCCAACATCAATTTCAGCAAGGATACATTAACTGAACAAAAAATGAAAGCATCCAAGCATCAGTGCAAAGAAACTATTAACACTCAGATCAGATCACAGTAGAAGAAAGCGTTATCTCAACAGTTTGGTTTCAGCCTCAAGCTGCTGTTACACTCATCAAAATATAATCTCAGAAAAAGGGTTATCTCAACAAAAGGCAAAATATAATCTCTCGCACTCTACTTATACTCATCCCAATCCCATCGATAGTTTGCTGGGTTTTTATATGTACACTAGCTTTTGTAACAAAAACCACGAAGAAAAAACATGTTCCATATCTAGTACTTTCGATTCGACTAATAGTGATGAAGGATTCAGAAGATGATTGTAGAGGCGCGATCCTTCTCCACTAGGGATGAAATCTTGAAAGTAGATAGGTTGTGTAGAATGTATGCCATCTAGGTAGTATGCAAGCTCAAAAAATTGTGATTCTGGCGGACGTGCTACATTTTTCTTTTCGAAATGAATGAGGTACTTTGAGTAGCCAAGCGAATGAATTGTTGGAACTTGGGTTCCGAACGGACTAAGGGGAGAGTAGAGAGCTTGGCGGTGGATGGGGGGACACATTAGGATTTTGAGAGGGAGAGAGTCCTGCCGGTGTTTCGAGTTACCACCTAGTAAATTTCTAGATTGCGCGTCTGACTTAGATGGTGTGCTTAGAGGACACAAAATTTATACTGGTTCGGGCAGAATGTCCCTACGTCCAGTTCGTCGCTACTGCTGGTGTGTTACTAGCACCGAAAGTTTATAGTAGGGGTTGCAAACAGATGAGAGAGGGAGAAGGTCCCAAGTCTCTGTGTGTGTGTGAGTGCTGCTAAGGCGTGTTAGGGTGTATAGAGATGTGTTCAGATGTCTTAGGTGTCCAAGGCGTATAGAGCCATGTTTTGACGTGCCCTTCATGGGGCGTCTTGCTTCCCCTTATATAGACGAAGGGGAAGAGCAGGTTACAGAGAGAAAGAGGGAGAAAAGTCAAGGAGAAGAAAGCCCCTAGGCCCGCCGGGTCCTTCTTCTCCTTTATGCGGGTCCAGCCGACGCTGTAAATGGTGTCAAGGACAGCTCCACGCTGGGCTCCTGTTCACAGCTCATGCCACGCCCCGACGTCATCAGCTGGTCATGGCGTCCCATCCCGTTCCGACGCACGATGCGGCGAACCGATGTGCCGGTCAGCGGTCATTCGGGGAGTAGACAGCACAGTGACCAACTAGGGATGAAAACGGATCGGATACGGACGAATATCACCGATATTACATTTGTTTTCATATTTCTGTCCGGATTCGGATTCGAATACGGATAGTGTCAACTATGTCGGATAGGATACGATTGGATATCGACATCATAAATATGCGATTTGAGTATTCGGATACGGAAACGGTATCGGATGTTGGATATCCGGACTCAGATACGGACAGATCTCAACCCCTCTAAACGGATTCAGTTTTGAATACGGTCGGAAAATATCTGTACCATTTTCATCCCTAGTGACCATGCATCCGTCACTGTTGGCGATGTGAATCCCATGAGTGACATGCCGTGGCCATGGGTCACGTCGAGACGTGCCTGCTCCCTGCCCGGTGCCAGGAGTTTGACCTTGGATTGAACCTTCTGACCCGTAGTGGTTGGCGGCGGTACGGGCTTCCGTCGGGCGAGATGGGAGCCGCGCCTGAGGGGTCGGGCGAGGCGGAGCCCCGGACCCAGCGGTCGGCGAGGCGGAGCCCATCCCCCAGAGGTCGGGCGAGGCGGGGCCTGTTCCCCAGCGGTCGAGCGAGGCGGAGCCCGCCCCCAGAGGTCGGGCGAGGCGGGGCCTGTACCCTAGCGGTCGGGCGAGGCGGAGCCCGCACTCCGGCGGTCGGGTGAGGCGGAGCCCGCGCCCCAGGGGTCGGCCGAGGTGGGACCCGCCGCTCAGCGGTCGGGCGAGGCGGAACCTGCGCACCTGGGGGCCGGTTGGAGTTGTAGTTGCGCACTTGATTGCTTGGGTGAATTAGTGCAGACGACCGTTAGCTCCTCCTCTTCGGGTACCCTAATATTGGTCGCCGACAAGTCCCTTGCTCTCATTCCCTTGGACAGTATATATAGGCAATGGTAAATTACAAGCGGCTCCTCGATAGTTGTAACGTCCTGAAAATTCAAATCTTAAAATCACTCGCTCAAAAATATTTTCAAAAGCTATTTTAAAAACTAAAGTCATTTAAGCTCTATTTAAATTCTCTTCCTACTTATTCGATCTCATGTATATCCCATGTATATCCCTCTGTTCCCTTATCCAAATTTACATCCCGCACGCCGCCACGGGAATATCTCGTGCTGTCCCCCACCTCTCTCCCTCATGCGCGCTCCGCTCGCCCTCGCCCGATGGTGCCTGTGTGCGCCGGCCCCGCCACTACCACCGTGACGCACCCGTGCCCGGACCCCCACTCGCCGACCACAGTGCCCGCGCACCACCTCGACATCGTGGGCCCCACCTCCCATCTCCCTTTTCCCCTTCCCTCCTGTTTAACCGAGCACAAGCAACCTCTGCAGTATACAGCACGCACGCAAGCAGCAGAGCGGACAACTGAGCTAGCACCGCTGCCGCACGCCGAGCTGCTAGCCCCATCCTATCACCGCCAACCGCTGCAGCAACACACGCACGCCGCCCTGCTCCACTCACCTCTGCCGCACCATCACTCCGCCTGCACGCTCCGTCGCCTCAGCGCCACCATCGTCACAAGCAAGCGACGCTCGCAAGCCGACGCCCGCTGCAGTGCCGCCATTGAAGGCGAGTTGCTGTGCTCGCCGGCCAACCACCCTCCTCCGGCCTATAAAAGGCGTCACCGAGCTGCTCCCCTCCACCAGGCCGAGCCGCTGAGCCGTCCCGCTCCGTCGCTCACCTTCTTCCTCCTCCCGCTGAGCCTCCTCTGTTCTTGCCCTGAGCAAACTGTGCTCCGTCGATCTCCAAGCTCGGGCCCCCACAGCTCGAATCAACCGACGGTGAGCGCCCCCAGGCTCTCCTCCACCTTCTCCAGGCTCCTATTTCCCCTCTGTCTTCCCAGGCCGTGCTCCCCACGAGCCACGCCGTACAGCTATG